ACGACGAGCCCGGCTATCACAGCAAGATACAGCAAGTACTTCGTATGGCCACAAAGATGGACCGTGAGGCAGAGGGGACCTAACGAACAGTTCACGCGGCACCGGCTCGGAAGTTTTGTTGCACGCTTCCCTGAGGGTGTGAAACACACTCCAGTCTCTTGTAAGCACCAACCTTAGTGCAGAGCTTGAAGGCCAATACGGCCAACGCTTCTTTATCCGAGCACCCGCCAAGATAGACAAACAAGAGTGACCCGCCCTAGTGTGGCTGACTCGCTAATTTGTGGACCTGGGGCACCAAACCTTTCCCCGTTACCTTCAGAATGGCGTGCCACAGCGGCCAGCATAAGGCTGGCGGGGCCGTTAATTATGGCATGTTTTTGTCACCTTCCCCGGGACACCCGCCTTTTTCAGAGGGGCACTCATCCCATGGTACAGCCGACTCCTCGTACAGCCGAGCCCATCCTTTCAGAATGATGGATGGGGCAGCGCACCTGCGCGGGACGGGAGGGCTGCTCCCGCCCCATGCCCTAAGCAAAGCAAAGCAAAGAGAGAGATCGTGCGTGGATTTTCGTTTCGTTTGTTTTGAGGCAGCCTTGTTTGTGCTTCTCCCTTCAGAAGCTGGGTCGTGAATGCAAGTACCCCATGGAGCAGTCTGGTGTTTGGGACTGCCTTGGTTCATGTCTGCAGGGCGTTGTGAGTGACTCGTCTTCATGCCACCGCCTGTAGGTTTGTTCTTCAAAGCGGTGTCTAGCACACGCATAGTGAGGACAGCATTGTCGAACCGATTGAAGACAAGTGGTAGTATTAGTCTGGACTTGAGATGTGGGTGTGTTCTCTTCAGTCCGTCTGCAGGCTGCGCTTGGCAAGAAAGCCGCGCGGAAACGGTTGGCAGCGAGTCGGTGACAAGGCCTTGGTGAGCTGGTGTTTACTGCTGCCATTGGATCTCATGGGAAGTAGGCAATGCTTACGAAAGCTAACCTGATGCATGGTACACTCTGCTAGCTGCTAGGCAGAACTGAAACTGGCAGTCGTTGGTGTTGTGCGGTTGCAGCCCCTTGGTTCGGGAAGCGATGTTCGTTCGTCTCACGTTGCAGCTTCGAGGGAGGCGGCGATTCTCACAAACCTTAAGCAGATGGCAACACTTCCTCGACGAGCTGGATGGGAAGGTTCCCAACGATGGCTTTCCCGCGTCTGAGCCGCGATATTTCTCTGTGGTACGATTGTGTGCAAGAAGCTCGGTAGGAACAGACTGGGAGCCCAAAGCCTTGCAATAATAAGCGCCTGTGCAGGATCTTCCGAGTTGCAGCCGGGCAGTGCAGTCGTGTGGCAGAGCCAAGAAATGGGATTATGCACTGCAGCTGCTGTCGTCTGTTCAAGACAGAATAGATTCGATGTTCTGCACAACCGTGATCGGAGCATGCAGGCATGCGGCAGCATGGGAACCAGCCTTGGCCATGTTGCATCAACTAGAGACGGGTGCTTTCGGCATTCAGCCAACAGTGCACCATTACGGAGCGGTCGCTAGCTGCTTGGAGTTTGTCAAAAACTGGGAGAAGGCCTTGGCCTTGACGCGATCCTTGCAGTCCCGTGGACTGATGCCCAATGTGCAGTTTTGTGGGGCCATTATAACCGCGTGTGAGAAGTCCTGTCAGTGGGAGCGGGCCCTTTCGCTTCTCAGACTCATGGGCGAAGTGTCCGCAGGTCCCGATGTCATGGCTTTTAACACGTCCATAGCAGCTTGCGGAAAGGGTCGGCGATGGAAAGATGCCGTGTTGCTCTTGGCAGAGATGTCTGCGTCGGACCTTTTGCCTTCCGTGGTTACTAACAGCATCGCCTGGCGCTCAGTCTCTGAGTTTTGCTTTTGGTTTGTCACGGTTTCTCCAAGCACCAGGGCCTTTGCTGCACATGGTTCAGGTCATGAGTGCTCTGGAGAGATCTAGGCAGTGGATGCTGGCCGTTATGATCATGGATGGAACCCTTGCACGCGGATTGGAAGCCGACTACATCACATGGAATTCGGTTATCAGTGCGTGTGAGTCGGGCTCGCAGTGGGCACAGGCAGTGCGCATGTTGCACAGAGCCCGCTTGTGTTTCGTTGCGGACCCGAGTGGCATGCCGCAGAAGCTGAAGCGTGGCACGAATTCGGTGATAAGCGCCTGTGGTAAAGCAAGCCGATGGCCTTTGGGAATCCAACTTCTGCGCATGATGCGAGAGGATGGACCTGATGGAACCCAGGACCATGTCAAGCAGCCTGCCATGGACATGGACATTGTTTGCTTCAATTCTTTGCTGCTTCATATGAATGGTGCCCACTGGAAGACTGCAGCATGCCTGCTGCAAGAGATGGTCCATCTCAAGCTTTCAGCGGATTTGACGACGTACAGGGCTTGTACAACGGTTTTCCAGGAAGGTGCCGGCCACAGTAGATTCTGGTATCAAATCGCCCAGTCTGCTGTTGAACTTCCCCGCGCTCTTCGCTGTGTCGAAAGATTCCGGCAGGAGGAGCATGCCATTGAAGTGGCGCTGACTGCAAGTCGACTGAGAGGGCTACACTGCTTGCCCCTTCAGGCGGATCGGATGATCCAACGCGTCGTCGAGGCCCCGGCCCGGGCCTCCTTGTCGCTCCTTTCGCTCCGGTCTGCTGCATGGCCACCCAAGACTTGTCCTGTTTTTTGTTGCTATGTCCCATCTATTAGTTGCGCTGTCTGTGTGTGTAGAAAGTGGGAGAGTAAGGATCAACATCTTGCGACATGTCCTCCTCGACATCGTGTGCATGACAAAGTGCTTGGAAGCTGCAGCAGTATTGGTCCAGATTTTGTGCGCTACTGCTTGGAAGCTGGACGAGTGATCGTATTGCAAATGCATGCGCTTCGTTGATGAAGGAATGCTATACAATAGAACCCTGGCATTTGTTTCGCTGTCTTGGGACTATGCCCATACCTCTGAAGCGGGTGTGGATGCAGAATGTGCTGACACTCACTGGCGCTGCCCTTCGCATCTCCGGCTGCTTTTTTGGACCTGAAGATTCAAGATTCGCACATGCTCGAATCAGGAGGTACAGAATGCCGGAACAAGAGTTTCGGGATGCCCTGTTTGGAGAGTCGCAGCTGCGATTCTTTTTGGGTGCACAGGGCCGAAGGCTTGCAATCCTGGCTCGTGAGCAAGAGCCAGTTCATTTACGTCATTTGTAGCTTTTTGACCAAGCTTCCCTTTGCTTGACCCCTGGAGAGTTTGGGAGGCCGTGGATTGTCTCTGAGACTTTACTCAGACGTTCAAGTAGGCACCACATTCTACCTCAGCCCGGCCCAAAGCCGTGGGAAAGCAGGTGACCACCCAAACCGTTTTTATGGGGCCATAGGCAGTCCAGAATTTTCACGTTCCTTCAGTATGCTGCAGGTCTATTTGTAGACTGCTGTTGGCAGGAAACGGAACGACTGTCGTTCGGTACACGTTGCACCAGCGGCACGAAACAGAGCCTGTAGAGTTGCAGCGAGTTGCATCATCTAAAAACGTCCCACATACGTGCTTGTTTGCAGGAGTTCTTCAGACACTGCAGCGCTCCAATGGCTTTCGATCCGGTGAAGGGCCGCTACTTGAAGATAGACGCCGAAACAAACTCGCATCTCACCGCACAAAGCCTTCTGTTGTCTGACTTTGCAGCAGGACGAGGTTGTCGTATGATTGTCGCAACAAAGCAGCGCAAAGCAGGTATATCGATTGTGATGTTCCTCACGACCCCATCGAGTACTCGGTGTCGGTGAGCGTCGGTGCTTCGTTGGTTGGACAGACTGACGAGGCCAGAGGGCATCTTGGAGCGAAGGTACCAGGTGGCCGCATTTCGCGCAGTTGCGTTTTCAGGATCTCAATGCGCCGGACAGGCCCAGAAGCATGCTCCTCAAGGCTGTGGCTAAGTGCCATTTTGACGGAATGACCTGCAGAAGACTTGCAAAGCATGCAGGAATTAGTCAAGACTGGTGCTGCTATGAAGACTCCGTTGTTCTTCCTGGACCAGAAACTTGGCCAAATGAGCATGCGAGATGCCACTAACAGATAGGTCAGCAGAGCGTGTTTCAAGGCCAAGTCTTCGTTTTCAATAGTGCCACGCAGCTATCTGTTCCAGAGCTGCGTACCGCGCGCCCTACAAAGCAGTTTCGTTTGCGTGCTTTTTGCTTTGCCAGCTTGTTGTTCATGTAGCCCACGACAACGCAACCCTTCCATCACCTTGCAAAGATAGAGTAGCCGCAACCTAAACTCACGGCCTGTTTGGGATGAGGTGTGACAGGGTGCTCCAGCAAAGTCCCGCCTAAGAAGAAGTTTCAGAGCAAGCTCTGTAAGCCAGCGTGTTTCTGTACTCCCGGACATCTCCCGGACATCTCGTGCATAGACACTCTAGGACGCACAAAAGTCCGCAACAATGAAGGTGAAAAGGCAGCCGATCGGGCGGAAGTCAAGACAGATATCGGGGCCTGCCAACAGGAACCAATGCCTTGCAACTTCATAAGTAGGCGAAAGCTTCTGTGCGACAACTTCGACCCAAGCCGAAGCCGAACAATAGCATACCGACCATGCCTAGTTCGCAGCATTTCGCCGTATTGTCTGTTGGCCGTGACGTGCGAACGCCGAGCGGAGCCATAGCTGAGCCCAGCGAATTCCAATAGGCAAATTCTTCGAGAAAAGGCAGCGGAAGACAGCACGGAAATCTCACGACTTACTGAAACCGCGAACCTTGCTGAGATGAGGCCGGCGGCGTGTTTTGCAATGTTTGACGGGGTGCGTGGTTGGGACCTTACCAGGGCGAAACTGCTGTGCTGTCCCGCTTGAAGTATTGGCTTGAGGTGGAGCAGCCGTGGAGTGGTGTTCGAAACATTTGCACACCAAGCTCCTTCCGCAACTCAGCGCTCGGAGCTCATGCAAGTTTCCAGGGGTGCCGTTGACCGTGAACCTTGCTCTTAGTGTGCTGGTCCAGGCGTCGATCACCTACTGGCATGATGCGGACCTGAGGTCGGCTTGAGCTCAGCCCGGCAAACTTCGACTAAGGATTTGTCATGCCTGCTCTGGTCTAGGGGACTCCTTCGGTCGATACTGTCGGAGTTGGATGCAGTTGCCTCGGCCATTTTTGGAGTTGACAGCGACATTGCTTGACTGCGGACATTGTTTGAGGTCCAGCTTGTGCAGCAGGCCGGTTGTTGCTGGGAAGGTGTTTCCATCGCAGTGGCTCCTGACTCAATGCAAAGCAAGTCTCATGGTGAACTCATGGTGGGGCTGTTTGCCGTTTCAGCAATCCTGAGGCTTTGCTGCTCGGAGATCGCTTAGTCGTCACGGCCTCAAGATCACTTGTATACTTGTTTCCAACACGCCGCTCCACCTCAATCCAACGTGTGCTATAGGTGGCAAGTTTGGGTGGAACCCACGCCTTGGTCGCATGCTCGATTGATTGGATTGTCACCGACCAGCATATCCAGCCCAAGTGAATTCCCGTCCGGGCAGGTTGCTGCCCCTGACGGCCGCTGGCGGTCTCTGGATGGGAGACATGTGGCATCTTCGGCAGAGGAGCAAGCTCGCAGCAAGGTGCACATCAAAGAATAGCCAAATGTCCCATGATGGGCGAGATGGTGTGTGACAGGCACTTGGTGCGGAGATTGTCGGAGAAGAGACAGGTAAAGGAGTCGTCGGTGCCCCTTTTGTCGGGATGCCCGGTGGATGCCCAGCAGTCCCGAACCACACACAGCATAAACCAACGAAGTTTCATGCGAGTGAAGGTGCAAAAGGTGGTGCAAGCAAGAGACTGGCAAGTTGTTGAAGATGCCACTGCAGAAGAGGAGGTCCAGCTGGCGCGTATTACATATACAGAGGTCGGGGTTCGAACGTTTATGTGTCTGCATGTGGCAAGGTCACGAGAGTTCTCGACCGGACATCGGACTGTTTCGCTACTTTGGGTCTTGGACCAGAGGCGTAGCCGCTTGGGTTAGAGTACTGATGCAATTTGTTTTGCAGTTGTGCATCACGGTTGGGTATGAAGATGTATGAAGGACAAGATCGACGGCAAGGCAGCTCGCTCGTGCTACAAAAAGTTGGCCCTCAAGGTGCTTTGACGTGCTGTGCACCGTTGGCTAGTTAGCTGCGTGGCCCGGATCCTTTCCGTGCCTAAGCGAGATGTCACCGCCACATGCGTGTTAGCGCTAGCATCCATTGCGCAGCCTATGTTCTCGAGGAATGGTCGCAGGCAGAGGATGGTGGAATCGTGCAGCGAGTATGTAACCGAATGAGGTTTTTGTGGAGGCAATCAAAGCCATGATGATGATGACGGCGGGATGGCGCGTGGTGGTCGTCATGTCACTGATCGCGTCTCACCATGTGCACGGTAAACCTGCGAAGCTTCGAGGATCATGTCTTGCACCATGGACTGCTGAACGTATACAACGCAATACTAACTCATAAACACCTCCCCCTCCCCTCCCCTCCCCTCCCCTCCC